TAGTTATGCAACAAAATATATTCATTTTTGTATCTTCTATATGTATATTCAATAATTTGAATTTCTTTCAATTTCAATAAATTTTAAAATATTTTGAATTTTTTCTTTAAGAACTCTACAAATTCTCACGAATAAACACCTTAATTTTTTCTTCATCATAACGAAACTCATTAATTACACTTACATTATATTTATTAATATACTTAACCTTCTGATACTTTTAGTGTATCATTGATAAACATGCTCTAAGCCTTCTAACATTACATAGGGGTGTCATGCAATGGGTTATTCAACGTCATACCAATGCCATTAAACCAAGTTAGACGGAAGAAAATATAAGAAAAGGCTATCATTTTGTTTTTCCATGTTGGACAAAGATATTTTGTCTCATGAACCAAAGTTTATTGATATATACAATATTTTACATATCGATGAAAAATAGTTTTATATAACAAAAAAAATTGAGAAATATTATATACTTTCAACCCAAAAAGAACCATATCGTATTTGTCGAAGTAAAAAGTTTATTAGAAAAATGATGTTTTAGACTGTGATGGTTCAATCAAGATTTGATGAGGAAGAAAATGAGATATTTTATGAAAAATAGGAGTATTAATTTCCTTTTGTTTTTTTTGGAACAAGCTAAAATATGAAGTAAGCACCGAGATGTTAGAACTAGAGTGAAAAGTGTCAAATTCCGTTAAAAGAACAGATATAAAGGCTTAATTGATCAATAAAATCATTCTAATAATTCATTAAAGGTGGCCAAAAGAAGATCATAGAAAGACTATTTTTATCCAACAATACAGTGCGAAGACACATTTCATTGTGGTAATAAAGAGTTTTAAGATGCTGCCTTGAAAAAATAGTTTTGATATATGTGCAAATCACCAAATTCACTCGATCTCAATATTTTGGATCTTGAATTCTTTAACGATCTTGTTCATGTTATCGAAGAGTCATTTGCTGAACACCTTTCGACAAAAATAAACTATACTTTTTTGACTCTTTAAACATGCATGATAGAAATCAAGAAAGTTGGAGGAACCAACAAATACAAAATACAACATAGGCAGAAAGCTACACTCGAAAGAGAGGGTCATCTACCAATTCAAATAAGTTGTGATGCTAACACTAGTCTAGAATGTGATGAGATGTTAAATTGAAAAAGAAAAAGAAGAGGAATATAGGGACCAAGTCTGAAAACATGTTAAAAGTAAAAGGTGGGATATGACAATTGTAAAAGTAAAAGTTAGCCCAGAAGGTGGTGGGCTAGTGGTAGGGGACTTGGTTGAGAG